CCCCCCCCTCCCGGTCCCTTCTCTCCGCCGCCTTCTTCCCCCTCTTCCCGCCGGGAATCCCAGGGCCCTCCCTCCTCCCGCAGCTCCCCGCCGCGCTTCGCCTCGCCTCTCCTCCTCTCCCTCTCTGCCCGGGGCCCGGCCAGGGGTCGCCCGGGAGGCTGGCGGGGCGGCTCCAAGGCGCCGGGCGACCGGAGCGTCCTGAGCCCAGAGCAGGAGGCCGGGAGGGCCAGGAACGGCCGCCACTGGGGTCCGTGCCTGAGAAGGTGCCTCAGATGGCGACCCCTGGCCCCGAAGGCGGGTCAGAACCCTGGGGGAGCAGGGCGTCCGCTGCTTTCTGGCCCGGCCGCAGGTTCTGGGGACGACCCGCCGACCGGGCGACGCGAAGGCCCGCGCCGCGTCGCACTCAGAACCGATGTGCAGGGGGCTCTGCAGGCCCGGCCCTGAGCGCAGGAGCTCGAGATGGCTGACCCCCTCCCCGCCTACCGAAAGAATGTGTGTGCAAGGGGATACTCGAATGGGCAGACGACCCGAGAGAAGCCGGGTCTCTCCCTTTTGACGTCCCGTGGAGCCAGTTTTCCCGCCTGCCTCTGAAGCCTCCCACAGCCAGCCCTCGCTGGCCTCCTGCCTCCCACACGGCCCTGCGGTATCGGTGGCAGGACCGCCGCCACCTCGCCGCCCCGAGGCTTCGTGAAGCGCTCACTCCCTACCCTTCTAAACACAAAACCCAAAAGGAGAACGCAGCCTGGGCCTGCGGTCAGAGGAAGCGGAGTTCTTAGGCCAGTTTTAGACACAAGAGTGCACTTGGCAGGCACTGGGCTCGCGTGAGTTGACCCCCGCCTGCGAGCCCTGTGCCGGGGGTTTCCTCCCAGGTGCCAAGGAACTCGTCGTCTAGGGGAGAAGCGGCCAGGCCTCTGCGCGGGGCAGGTCGAGGGGCCGCGCGGGAGAGAAAGAGAAGGGGAGGGAGGCGGTGGGAGCTCCGCCGGGTCCGGCCTGGGGAGGTGGGGGGTGTGGCGGAGTCTGCCCCGAAGGAGCAGCCGGGTGTGGGGCGGGAGGGGGCGTCGGGTGGCGCGGGCCGCCGTCTCCAGCTGTCCCGCGCGCAGGGAACAATGGGGAGGCGGTAGGAGAGGAGGGCGCTGGGGTTTCCAGAAAAGGAGCCCTTCGCAGACTGTCATCTGCGTGTGACAAGATCTGCAACCCCCCTCTTTCTTTCTTCTCCTTGTTCCTGCAGCTGTGGGCCTCGGAGAGCGCATTGTACACACAGATGTTGGGTTTCAGCTCCCTGGCTCCCGCAGCTCCGCGGGGGCGCCGCGCACCGGGGGTGTCCCAACCTGTGGCCGCGGTCCGAGGTGTAGGGCTTGGGGATGGAGACGGGTGGGAGCTGGGAAGAAGTCACCGAGGCTCGAGGGCGGTCCCCGAGGTCTGCAGCCCCGCCAACCTAGTCGTCCCTGAGACCCCAACTTGGCTCGCGCGCTGCGGGCCTGACTGGCGCCCAGGGCCTCCGCTGAGCGTTAGGAAACTTAAGAGAGGTCATGGTCCTGGGCCCCCCGTTTCACTTCTCCCACCGCGCGGGGCAGTGGTCCAGATCAGGCAGTCGACCTGGGAAGGGAGAAGGGTGAGGAGGACACTGCTCTGATTCCTGGGTTTTCACCGCTCTCACTCCGGCGGCGTCTTGGGCTGGCGGCCAGCCGTTCGCCTGGACCAAATGGTGGCAAAGTCTCACTAGTTCCTGCGTCTGGCGAGGCACTTTCTACAAGGATTCGAGACTTAAAAACTCAAAAGGGTTCATGTGAGGTGGGGGGAGAGGCTGCTCGTTGATTTGTCCTGCATAATAGGCCCGCTTCAATTTGGAAACGGAGCAAAAAGGACCCCACGGCAAAACTCGAGAAACTAACTCGAAGGAACGATTTGCCGGGGATTTTTCTCTGGCAGAAAGTTACGTCGCACCCCGCGCGTCCCCCCCGTAAGCAAAGGTCACAGCAGAGCCGCGCGGGTAGACGTCTCTTGCCGAGGGCCCCTCCCCCACGAGCGCTACCCTGAACTTGCTCAGTATGAAGTGCGACTCGAACGATGAAAGGGAGAAAGACTGAAAAGAAAGAAAGGCGAAAGCCCTGGCTTCGCTGGTGTACCAATGACTGACAAAGCCGATGTCCATTCATAGTCTCGGGCGGGAGAGGGTGTATGGAGAGCCGCGGCCCCTTAGCCAATTGCTGTCAGCAACATGTGGGGGGGGAGTGCATCGCTATAGCAACCGGTGGCTGGGCCGCGAGCCGCGCCGCCGCCGGCCGGCTGCGCGCCGGGCCATATAAAAGGTTGATTTTTATTATACACACCACTTGGTATTCCAGTTAATAACTTTGCCGTCATTTACTTAACCAACTGCCTATAGATTAATACTGTGGCCTCTAATTTTTTCATACTGAAATAAACATATTGGTCTGGATGTTTATGCACACTTATGCAACTTTGCTTTCATTGTCGACATGTTGCTGAACTTCGTCTGCAGAAAGGGTATACCAATTACACTGCCACCAACCTACTCCTTTTAGAAGCTGACTCTGGTTACAATTCAGCCTTTTTGGAGGCCATAGCAGACTATGCAAGCTCTGGAATTTTGCATCCAAATTCCTATTTTGATGGTGGTGAGATTTTGAACTACTGTTGGCACTGAATTCACTGCCAGTCTTCTTGCTTT